TCTGAGAAAAGTCTACATGTAGTAGCTATATATGTAATATCAAAGCGATTGAACTATTGGTTTTTAACAAGAAGTCGAAAATATCACTTTTTACCAAAAATGACAAAAATATTCACCAAAATTAGAGATTTGAAGATATCAACATGAAATGAACAAACCTAAAAGAGGTCTACCCAAGGTACATATACACCAAGTATCAAAGCATTCAGGCTTGTAGTTTTCAAGAAGAAGTCGAAAAAGTAAAACATTGACACGGACGACGACGGACGACAATCACTCATATGATAAGCTCTGCTCGACAAAGTCAACAGCGGAGCTAAAAAAAGTAGTGTGGATCAATAGCATAAGAAAATAATTCTGCAAGTCTATTTCTTAGAGAAAAAATATTATACATGTACATAGAGAATATAAAAAAATTCATCATTAGCACAAAACTAAGTGAAGGAAACATTTAGTTTGCATAGTTTTTCTGTCATCGCCCCCTCCCCAGGGTTTCTAATGGTCCACCCCTAATACAGAAAATATGGTACATTAATTAAAACTGAATGCCAAAGTCAAATTTTGTCAACTTTCACAAATGAACCAGTATTTTCCCCATCTGTAAGTAATTTGGTTTCCAAAAATAAAGAAACATTCTAGAAAAATATGTGTAAACAAACATTGCAAGCATATTATTTTTCACTATAAAGAACAGATTACTGGTATAATACCTATGATAACTGCAGATTATCGACAGCAGCATTTGTTCGTTTTAGGATAATTTAAATTCACAGTAAAACAAAGCTGATTATGCAAATTAGTGATGATCTTAATTTTGCACACAAAATGTGCATAAATATGCACTGATATTCTGCTGATATTAATTAAAGCGAGAGGGTCGTCACCTGCGCACGCGCGGGAATTGAGTCCCGAGCGACGATAACAACACACGCTAAAAATGCAAAGGCTCATTGGGAGACGCTTGTTTGTAAAAAATGACACGCTATGGCCATCTGATGCATGCGCAGATGACGACTCCCTCGCTTTAAGTAAAAAAAATCAAAAGATGTCTAATACAAATTTGAATATGAGGTTACAAAAAGTATGAGTAAGTGTAAGAAAAACAAAAAAAAATATAAGAGTACAATAGCTCTTATTTTGATCAATCAATATTATCAATGACAAAAA